ATAGGGGCTGCTAAATGTCTTCGGAGAAAAGCGGAAAGGCGGTGGCGGAAAACTGGCAGACAAGAAGACCTTCATGCTTTTAAAGTGCAAAGAAACTGTGTAACTTACATGATGAACGCTGCAAAAAAGGACTTCTATACTAACTTTATTGCGGAGAATAGCATGGATCAAGGGAAGTTATTTAGGGCTGCAATGAAGCTGCTGGCTAAGAAGGAAGTGCCGTCTTTTCCTGGCTATGCGGATAAATCTGTTCTTGCGAATGACATCGGAAAATTTTTTATCTGCAAAATAGAATCCATCCACCCGGATATTGACAAGGCCGTCAACTCTCATGCAAACATGGTCCGGAGGATCTAGAGGTTGGCCCGGAAAAAGCACTGCTTGGCTTCCATCCTCTCAGTGAGGACGAAGTCCTGAAGTTTGTTTGACAAACTGCAAAAAAATCTTGTACACTTGATCCAGCTCCACGTCGCTTGTGGTCTCCTGGCTCGATGTTCTACTTCCGGTCATTACACACATAATTAACTGTTCCCTTACATCTGAGGAATTTCCTGATTGTTGGAAGGAGGCGTTAGTTTCCCCTCTGCTCAAAAAGTCTGGCGTGCTCTCAGAGTTTACTAACTTAAGACCTGTGTCTAATTTGCAGTACGTTTCAAAATTAACGGAACGTGCCGTCTTCGATCAAACGCATGCGCATTTGACATCACATGGCTTATACCCTCCATTCCAGTCAGCGTACCGTAAGTGTCACAGCACTGAGACTGCACTTTTAAAAGTGCAAAATGACATCCTAATCAACTTGGATTCTCAACGTTTCACCCTTCTTGTGTTACTCGATTTAAGTGCTGCGTTTGAGACAGTTGACCATGGAGTGTTATTGAATCGCCTCAGTACGAGCTTTAGAGTTAAGGGATTGGCATTGCAGTGGTTTACATCCTACCTTCTCAACAGATCGCAGCGCGTGTCTTTCGACCAAAATTTATCTGAGAAGTTCAATTTACAATGTGGCGTTCCTTAAGGATCATGCTTAGGTCCATTGCTGTTAACCATCTATGCGAGTAAGCTTTTTGAGGTTATTAAGGTGATCCCCTAGTAAAAGAACCTAACATAGATTGTAGATGAAACTTGGTACACTGATGTAACAAGTCAAGAAGATGATAAAAAGGTAATAAAAAGTGGGGGTCACCGTGCTCGTTTTGACGTCACAATGCTGACAAATACGGCTATTTTGGACCCTTTAACGAAAACCGCGCGCAGCCCAAAACTAGACAAAAAGGAAAGATTTTTTCAATGATGCATATGGTATCGCACAGAATTTGACTTTAATGTATTGTTTATCCACTTACGTACCAGAAAAATGCCTTTTAATGCCCTTGTTTTTACTTTACGTTCCAAAGTAGAATTAAATTGGACACGCGCTATTCGACACGTGATAGCTCAATCCGTACAATTTAGTAAAACTGCCAAAAAACTGAATATAGATTTGTGCCAATTTTTCTCTCACCGAAAGGAAGCACTGTCCTTATTAAAATCATGAAATAAAAAATGGGGGTCACCGTACTCGTTTTTGCGGTAGAGCTGCAGAAAGTGTGCGCCAAATGCATTTTCCTTGATGTTTGAGAGAGGACTGGGGCGAGTTTCAAAATGGAATGTATGCGAAAGGAGGAAGAAAGTATTAAAAAATCCGTTTTTACAGAATTTACATCGAGATATCACATTTAGGACACAATGTGATAAAGAAAGCGCTTAAATGAAAATCAAAGTGAATAAGCACAAATTAAACATCCACTATCGAGGTTCTCCGTGAGGAAGTCGAACTCAGCAACACGCTTACTGCTTACGTTATGCACTTTCCCACCACATTGAGTCTCACTTCGGCAAGAAACAACCGCAAGCAAAAATTGCAATAGCGTTTCTCTTCGGTCAACTTCATTTTAATGATGTTACTTCACATGCTCTTTTTTACGGAGGCCATCTTGTTATGCGCAGTAAGAGATGCGCAGTGCAAAACCAGGGAATCACCTTAAGAACTACCTACCACAATCGCATGCATACGCAGACGATACTCAGCTGTATGTATCATTCAGTGCTGACTCGGCTTGTTCGCAAAACGATGCAGTTGAGGCAATGGAGCAATGCCTACAGGCTATACGATCGTGGATGATCAAGGATAAACTACGCCTGTATGATAATAAGACGGAGTTCATGATTATAGGCACCAGAAAGCAACTGGCTAAAGTGAACATTGATGGTCTTAGTGTCGGTGAGAGCATTATAGCTCCCGTAACTTCAGTTAGGAACTTGGGATCATGGTTTGACCAGAACCTGACTGTGATACCACACATTAACAAGATATGTAACGCTGCGTCTTTTCATATTTACAATATAAGGCGGATCAGAAAGTATCTCAACAATGATGCCACACAAACGCTTGTTCACTCCATTGTTATAGGCAGCTTAGATTACTGTAATAGTCTTCTTTATAAAGTTCCCGCGTTACACATGAGTAAGTTACAACGCATTCAAAATAGTGCTACCCGGCTCGTATGCTCAACCCCGAGGTTTAATCATATCACACCCATCTTACTTTCTTTACGTTGGCTACCTGTTGCCTACCATATTGAGTTTAAAATCTTAGTTGTAACGTTTAAAGCAATATATCAACTTGCGCCGTCTTATATCTGCAATCTAGTTCGATAAAAGGAGAAATGTAAATATCAGTTTCGTTCCTCTGAAGAACTACTATTGCAGTTGCCCATGGGAAAAAAAAGAAGACCCTGGGTGACAGATCATTTCAAATAGCTGCCCCTGCACTGTGGAACAGTCTGCCTGTAAGAGTCAGAGACATCGACAACTTTTTGGGTTTTAAACGAACAATAAAGACTTACTTATTTAGGAAGGCTTTTGCCCGTTGTAGTTACATTGATAAATTTTACATTATAAATTTTTAGGTATTCTTAAGTATACTTTATTGTAATTATTACTGGCAGTTATAGTTGTAAGGCAAATTTGATCATATTCAGATGTTAATTTGCGCCTAATAAGAAATAAATTATCATTATTATTATCATTATTCAATGTATTTCTCCCCGCAAATTTAAGATATAAGCAAGATAAGCTGAGGTTTCTACATAACAAAGCTCTTGAGATGCTGAACTCGATACTTCAAAGTTTCACTGTTGTAAGTGACAGACAAGGAGTGACAGGTGATGGGTATTTTATTTTTAAAAGCTTAGCCGAAGCCTTGGCACAGAAAACTCTAAAAGTCAGAGCATAATTTGCGACTAAAACGAATATTTCATCTGCATTGATCGAACTTTATCAGCGTTGTAAAGTTTTTTTTTTATTGTTTGCTTAATAAGAATAACAGCTGAACCGCTTGTGATGTAATTAACCAAGAAAGGAAAAAAGAAACCCCTCGCCACAAAATTACTCTAATCTTGCATCTATTACTGTGGGAACTAAAACATATTTCCGCTTGATGCGTAAGAGGGTTGAAAAGTGTCAAGCGATTCTGGCCTTACTTGATGGCTTTCAGGAGCTGCATCTCGAGAGGTAAGCCTGAGTAATTATTGTATTTCATGTTTGTTTCTTTTTCCGATTTCACGAAGTCGAGCGTAGTTTATGCGGCTAGTTTAGGCGCGTTTGTAAGATTTGAGACACTGATCTGACCTATTATCAGGTTTGATATACATATCTCTCTTCATGAAAACATTTTATAATGTGGTGAATTCTATAATTTGCTATGCAAAGCATGATTCGATATTGTCCCGAATATTGGATGCATGCAATTTGTCATGCAAAATTGTGAAAAACTGCATTCTATCTGAGGTCTGTATGATAAAAACAGTGCCTCATAGTACTGTTTACCTCAGATGTGATGTATAAAAAGTATTAACAACTACATCGCTAAAATGGAGGTTGGGTGCCTGAAGTATCCAGGGGCTTCCACTATTGGCAGCCAGCCCCTAGATTGAAATAATGCCCCATGACTGGCACAAAAGCGCAACCCAGCCATGAGCCCCCACAGCAAAGGAAAGGAACAGGCACCAGTCACACTGAAAAAACATCAGTGGAGAAAAACCCAACCCGCCTAGGGGAGGGCGGAAGGGGAAGAAAATGGCCAACAGAACCCAGCACGAAGGAAAAACTGAACGCGGCAAGGAATCACATGATCGATGTAGCCAGCCACCGGGCATGCGCATGCCAAAGACTGCTGACCTAGGCACCCAGGCGCTCTTAGTTGTTAACTCCTTTAAATTGCATTTAAATGCATTTAACAACTGCATCGCTAAAATGGAGGTTGGGTGCCTGAAGTATCCAGGGCTTCCACTATCGGCAGCCAGCCCCTAGACTGAAATAATGCCCCCATGACTGGCACAACAGTGCAACCCAGCCATGAGCCCCCACACCAAGCCGAAGGAACCTCCGAGCCATAGCGCTAAGGCTCGGAGAAGGGGCTCGAGCCCGAGCCCCTAACGGCCAAACCCGAAGGCGCTTATACATAGGTGTACGCTACCTCTCTTGATAAGGTACCTGTTACTGAAGTAGCCTCCCAGAAACTTCCAAAATGGATTCCACTGGGGTTCTAACGTAGAGTTGATTTACATCACTGGACCACCTGTCCATGGTCTTGATAAGGTGATCTGACCACGCCCCAGGTATATAAAGCATCCCTGGTGAAATGGGTCGGTTTTAGAACTTTTGATGCGCACGCGCAGGCTGGAAGGATTAACCTCAGCATCTACTTGTAAATCCTGAACGGTTAAATGGATGGATGGGTCAAAGGCGCAGTCGACCGTAAACTCCCCTGCCCATAGGAATCCAAAGAAACCTAGGCAACAAGCAGCTCACAGCATGATGTGCTCCGAGTTGTGGGCATCCAAGGAACGCTGGATAATTTGCATGAGGTCGGCTGTCACTGGCTGGCGTTGTGGGAGAGATGAGCCTTGATGGCGCTGAATGCCCCGGAGAAGACGCTGAAGTTGGAGGCAGTTCCCCAAGGGATCGGGGAAACCCTGATCGATGTGCAAGGACCGTACCGCCGAGAGATAAACCTTTATTGAAGAGTGATGTAAACGATCCGCTAGGTGGGAACAAAAACGCAGCAAGGTTTGTTCACTAGTGGGCAGTAACGAACCATTTGAACTGACATAGCCATTTAACGTACAGAAATCGATGAACTGACATTGTGCTGAACGATACACCCGTCGAGTTGAAGGGGCCAGACCGTTGGAGAGATAAAATTGGCACTTTTGGTCTAAACCACAGGCAGCTGGTCCAAGACCCAAGGAGGTACCGACGTTGCTGTAGGAGACGCATAAGGAGCTAGCTGATGGAACCGTTGAAATTCAAAACGAGAAATGGCGTTAGCTATGGCATTTGATTTCCCAGGAACGTGACGAGCAGTAAACACAAAGGTGTGCCGGGCCGCCAACAGGGAGAGGTGACGAAGCAGCACCATCAAGTTCGAATCTCGTGATGTACCGGACCACAAAACCTCGACCATTGCTGTATTGTCAGAACAAAATTCCACCCGCTTTTCAGACCACTGATGACCCCACAGGGAAGCTGCCAGAACAATCGGAAAAAGTTCTTTGTAGGCAATGGATAAGGGCAGCTTTCACGGAGACCATCTCCCCACGAACCAGTCTCTACCTAAAATAGCCCGGTATCCAACAGAGCCAGCAGCGTCAGAGGAGACATGGAGATCGGGAATGGGAGCCCAACGAGGAGACAACAGAAAACTGTACCCATTCCATGACTGGAAGAATTCGAGCCACCATGACAAATCCAAATGAAATTCTCTATTAAGCCTTATAGGATGGTCATCTCTGCGAAAAGCTGAGGGCACATTGATCATGCGGCGGAGAAAAGTGCGACCAGATGGGACGACTTTGCACGCATGTTGAAGATTGCCAGTTAAAGACTCCAGCTCCTTCCGTGTGCAATGGCGTTTAAGTGACCAAGAGACCAGGAGTGTACGGATACAATCAAATTTTCCTTGTGGGAGGCGCGCCTTCAATAGGAGAGAGTCGAGTTCTATGCCTAGAACGGTCAGGAGAGTGGAAGGGCCCTCCAGCTTGTCGGAGTGAAGGGGAATCCTTCAATCCTGAAATTGCTGGATACAGGTGTCCGTTGGCACGTCTGAGAATTAGGAGGACCCAGGCTCTGAAAATCGTCCAGATAGTGAAGGAGAAACCTCACGTCATACTGTTTTTTGAGCACCCATTCTACCAGGTCCGCAACTGAAGAGAAAATGTAAGGCGCTGAACGCAAACCAAAAGGTAAGGCTATGTCCACAAAGTAATTGCCTTGCCACTGCATGCCGAGAAGATAACGATCATTAGGGTGGATGGGAATAATGCGATAGGCACTTTCCACATCAAACTTTGCAAGTAAGGTGCCACGACCGAGCGACATGATCCCATCAATAATATCGTCTACTTTCATATATTGAACCGTGAAAGGGTCTTTTCTAATGCCGTCATTTACGCTGTGACCATCGGGACTAGAGAGATCGAGAATCAAGCGCCATTTGCCTGGCTGGTGTTTTTTGGGGATGACTCCAAAACGGCTGATGTGAAGGTGAGGTAACGGAGGGGAAGAGAAGGGGCCAGAAATGCGACCCTTAGCTAACTCCGTGTAAAAGTAGTCGTCAATAACCAAGGGCTGAAGACTAGCAGAGGGCATATTCTGTGAGGCCGATTTTAAGGAGACCGAAGCAGGGTTGAAACCAACACGAAACCCATTCTGAAGACCATCCAAGACATAGGTTACAAAAGACTGATCTGGATGTGTGAGCACTTCCTGGCGTAATTTGTCCACTCTTATGGGGGAAACTTTATAGGAGAGAAGCAGCGGCTGATGCAACGAGGGAGCCGATGCAGACGGGCAGGAATCATTGAAAGCACAAAAATTTCGGGGCAGTCGAATCTTCTGCTGGGAATCAACACCAATGAGCGCAAACGTGGAACGAGGAACAGTCAACGAACTATTAACACTATTTACACAAGAGGAGGCTGCCACCTGCAAGGCAACCTGGTTGTTAACACCGATGGCATTTTCCCCCGGATGGAGTGAGGGATCGGGAACGCTGAGACCCCTGTAGGCTCGAAAGGGGCAGTTGGTAAGGGGGTGTTGACCATCACATCGTTCGCAAGCATGACGGTAGCAACATTGACCCAGAGACCAGCGACAGGCACCATCGTTCCAAGATCGACAATACTGAATGGGGTCGAAGGAACGCTCGGGTGGGACGTTCGATGAGGCTGAGGTATGGGGTAGGGAAGTCGAGTGAGGTGCTGATTGACCGGTAACGGTGCCGGACGCAGAGTGTGGAAGTTGTATAGATCCAGGTTCATCTTAGACCAATCTGCTAGAAGAGAGGCTGCAGCATCCTTCCTGAATGCCGTGTCGTAGTTCAACCAAGCTGCTCCAGGAGACTGAGAAGCCGTCTGGAGGATCAATAACTTATACTGGGTAGTCTCCTGCCAGCGAGAAGGGTAAGTACTGCAGAAGATCCACTGGTAAATGGTAAAGGCCTGAATCCATGTGAGAATATCGGTTATCTCTACCACCCTTTTTTTGGCAGGGGCAACAAGTAGTTTACCATCCAAATAAGTATGAGGCTCGGACTCTTGGGCGCGTATGTTCTCCGCTAGGAGATCCGCAAGCTCATTGAAGGCGCCACTGGTTATTTTGGCCACCAGTTTCCACGGAATTGGCGCGTAACCGGGGCCAACTACAAACGCTTTTCCGACCGAAGGCGCCAAGGTTGGGCTGCTGGTCGACGGTACCAAAGAATAATCGAACAAGGATGGTGCCGACAACGCCGGGACGGGCGGCTGAGAAGCACGAGGAACCACGGGAATACCAACAGACGAATAAGTAGAAAGAAATGAGGGCAAAGCCACGCTACCTGCTAAAGACGATGAACGACACGTGGTCGAAGTCGATGTATAAGTCAACGGCACGCTGGTCGCTAAAGAGGCCGCGCTGGAATTGCCTGACGTACCGCTGGTAGAATTTGGGGCTCCGTTCTCCCAAAAGGCCGCCAACATCTGAGGTAGCGACTGCTGAAAAGCCTGGGAGATGGCCCGAGTCAGAGTCTCCGCTGAGATTGAGACCGAAGAGGGCGACGAGGTAAAGGAGGACGAAGAAGTGGAATTTGATGTGGTTGAGGGGGCGGATTCATCACTCGGAGACGACGCGGGACCGGACGGGTCAAGCGAAGCCGAGATGCTGTTCACCGTGTTGCGAGGCATGTGGACCAAACCGTCGAAGAAACAGACGGAAAAAACAAAGAAAAGTTCGCGAAATCGACGACAACGGTGACGAACCGCTCGCAGAGAAGACAAACACCGAGGAAAAACGAAGAAAATGGCCGACAGAACCCAGCACAAAGGGAAAACTGAACGCGCCAAGGAATCACATGATCGATGTAGCCAGCCACCGGGCATGCGCATGCCAAAGACCGCTGACCTAGGCACCCAGGCGCTCGTAGTTGTTAACTCCTTTAAATTGCATTTAAATGCATTAAAAGGCTGGTTTACAGTACACCAGATTTGTTGGCAAGATTTTTTAAAGTAAACTTGTTGAACACAAAAAATTTAACTGATTGGTAGATTACAAGTTTATTGTTTGATTGAAATTATAAATCTATTAATAGGAGCTTCGCTTTTAGCCCTGGCTAAATCTATATATTAGAACCACCCTCCCCCTCCTATCCCTTGCAACAGATTTTTTTATAGTGGGAACTAAAATTCTTGATTTTAATCCCAGTTATGGGTTTCACCATCAATAAGGGTTTGGTTTGTTTTGTCCTTATATTTTATCCTTATTTGGAAATGACATTTTCAAAAGAGGCCTGTTTGAATACTGCCATCCTAAAACTAATACACCGGTATCCCCATATAGATCGTTTCACTGTCACGCAGAAAAAGAATATATTGGAAACCATCCAGTGGAAGAAGCCAAGAAAACGAAATCTTATAAAAGACTAATATATAAACAATTTGTCCAAGTCTCTGGTCCTTGTGGCTCACAGTTTCTGAGTTATTTGCCGAAACGATTCACGTACCTTTGTAGAGCTTTGTATGGAGATGCCATATTGGTGTATCGTTTTGGTGCACCAATATGGCCGCCGGAAATCAACCAAAACATCTGGAGTTCACTTTTTGTACAAAAGCTCTTTCTTTCCACTCGACTTGCGCGTAAACATATCTTCTAATACTTGAAATGGTTTTACTGCTGAAAATCAAGAGGAGAGACTTTTTTAACGAGATAGCATTGCTATTTTGGTGTCACACACTGTGAAAACTCAGAAGTTCAAATTGCTGTATTTTTAAAATGAAACGTGCTACAGGAATGGAAACTTGTTCAAAGATTTACTCTTTGTTTATCTTCAACCAAGTGTAAATAAGAATTCGTAAAACCACGCTATTTTCACTTTACAATTTGATGACGTCACCGGGAAAACCATCTATTCTCCAGTAGGAATCACTTACATGATCACCAACCAGCATGTGGGAGAAGCGCCCGAGGAATTAAATCAAAGTATAAATGACTAAAAAAAATCTGACACTTTTCTGACAATTTTAAATGGTGGAGAGTTACCAAATCAAACCAAAAACATTGTTCATGTTTAAAATATAGCAATCCTCATAGTTGACATTGTTATAGACTGCAAAACAGTCCGTATTTTTGCGTATTCAAGTACGCCCGAGCAGTCAAACAAAAGTTGTGGAACGAGGCTGAAAACAGAGAGCGAGAGTGGGGAGTCGCCTCACAGGTCCTATGGGCGTGTGAGGCTCGCGCGCTTCATGCGCGCAAGACTCTTACGCCACGCGTTACCGATTTCTTTACTGATTTTGAGAAACATTACCGACTGTTTTGCAGTCTAACATTGTTAAGTAAGGGTTATCGGCCTGAAGCGAGGGGAATAAATCACATAACCCCTCGCTTCAGGCCGATAACCCTTACTTAACAATGTTTGGGGATTATATATTAATATGCCAGGGGGATACGTGACTTATCCCCCTTGCATACTAATACATAATCCCCTCGTATTTAATTAGCTGTTCATTAGCCCCGCTCTTCCCTTCAAACAATCAAAGCCGCACCCAGCTTTTCAGACAGTTGATTCGGGGGTTATGTAATATATTCCCCCCGAAAAGAACAAAGGAATCCGAGCTTATGTAAAAATAAGAGTCCTTTAAGTCTTTATTAAAATGAAGTAGTAACCTTGGTACGCTTATATGTAGTCTCTATAAAAATTTCGAATGCATCCAAATGAGATTGAACCTAGTAAGCCAGTGTGCCTGCGATACAAATCAAATTTTTAAGCCAGGCTTGGTGTAAATGACTTGCCAAATTAAGGTGTTAAAAAAAATTTGATCACATGAACTCTAGACTTGCAGATTCGCAAAGTATAGCCAGAACATAAAATACTGTCCTTCTGATCTCTCTGTTTCAACCGCCACAAACCTTTTTATGTGTGGTATCGAATCTTGATTTGGTGTACAATTGATTTGCGATCTTCCGGATCTTTTCCTCTGCACATAACTCTTTTCCCTCCTAATACTTAATGGAACATTTTTGTTGTTGTCTTTTTCTTCTCCTGTTATCCTTGTGCGTGGAGTTTTAACTAATGATTGATACTGGGCTGCGTGGGTCCGACAACAGATGACATCCAGCACAATATTTGTGACAGTGAAAAGCTTCAAAATGCATTATTCAGCATTAAACTTATTCACAAGTTGACTTGGCTTTTGAAGACCAGACTGGTGGTTTAGTAAACGTTTTTCAGTTTACAAACATCGCTTCTTGGAAGTGTATTTCTCCGAAACTCCCTCGCAAGTAGCTTCTGCCGGGAGCTCATAAAGGTGCCGCTCATGGACAGCCAATGAAACTGCAGAAATTTATCTGATACTCAACTTCCATTTAGAAAGGAATTGCCAATCCAAAAAGTCGGATAAATTGATGTCCCCAGAGTTTTCCCTGGTGTTGCCTCGTTGTCCCAAAAGCCAGAAGACTCTGGGTACGAGATTGTTTCATGCTGCAGCTGGCCCCACCAGCTATAAAGTATGACTTTTCACACCGGTTTCCCTGTGGTGTGGAAGGACGAACAGGCAGACGTACGGTCATCTAACTACCAAATTTTCTTGATTGTATAAATAACAAAATTTTCTTAGCTATGGGCTACGGTCACGTGCGCTGAGCTTGGCGCTCCACAAATATACCCTCCGTAAACTGATCATACCCAACTTTCACTCCGATCTTTTTCTTCTTCAGGATTATGTACGTTGTTGTGTTTCAAGCCAGAACAGCAGAGATGTCTTTATTACAGGTACACTAGCCACAAATTGCATAAATATATTACCCTTTCCTTTCCAGGGAAATAAAATGTTTGTAAAATACAAATACCAGTTGTTGTTTTAAGAGCGACTCTCTATAGGGACCAAGTGAGATTGAAAAAATATGGCACAAGGTTGGAAAAATGGACCCCTTGATATTTCGTCCGGAGATAACCTAAGGTTCTAGAGTTTTTACATTTTTGAGAAAATTACGAAAAACTGTCGACAACCCGTGAAGTCGAAAATTCACAGAAATGAGGTCAAATTTCATGATCAGATAATCAAACTTGCGTGAAGGCGCATAGCAAATTATGGCTTTCCGTAGTTTATAATTGTACTTACGAGGTATTGCTAAGCTTCCTTGATGATATTTTAAACTTACAAATGTAATTCCGAATTCCTGGAGAGCAATTGAAGAGAACCGAAATTTCTAGACTCTGAAAATAAAAAATTCCATACCGTTTTCAAACATCTCAAAACATACTGGGAATTATGTAGAGTACAAGAGCTGTTTTTGAACGTGATATATTTTTTTTCTTGGCAAAAGTTATTTCTGAGGAGAGCAGCCCCATGCAAGTTGACCCAATTTGACCTTTCGAAGAGATTTTGTTTAACCAGGAAATGTAAACAATTCGACTAGCCTTAGCTTACTTTCTGAGCAAACCATTGAAAAACCCTGCCATTTCCCATTAAAACTATTCAGAAAACCTAAGATAATACTTCGATGACAGCTTACCTTCCAAATGGGTGTTTGAAGGCAACTAATTTTGACATTGTCAGTTAATTTTTCCTTTGCTTTCTTGTTGCCGCGCTTTATAATTTAGGGTCATATCTTGACATCGAGCTTGTACGTCTGTTCCAGGCTGAGCTTGTAGAACACTTTTCGGGAAAATCAATCCATATGTTGCAATATGTACCTCTCAGTGAGCAACCTCTTAATGTTCATTTAGTTTCTTGTATAATAAAAAAAATTCCTAAGCGGAAGACGTAAATCTCGGTCAAGTGAGTGTAACGCAATCTGTCCTTCGTCACTTCCGTACCAGGTAATTAATTTTTTTTCTGATGGGGAAGGGGCAAAGACGTTTTCCTATGCAAACAATTTCTTTTTCTTGTTGATGTTACACGCAATGCATTTAACGGTTCATTACATGCCCACTGCAACAATTGAATTAAGATTTTCCATCATTATATAAACATACACAACACTTTTTCATGTCTTTCGTTCCAAATATTTAATACAGTAATTCACTCGATTGCTTTCGCTCAAAATACGTTTTTCTTTCAAGTTAAAACGGGACAACTTCCCGTTTTTCTCCTTAGCGCACTCACCTATTGCTCAGCTCAGTGGGTAGTGTAAAATAGCTCAGAGTTCGTAACCACACCCTATTCACTCTTCCTCGTCCGCTACCCAACCGTTGTACTAACTTTGAATTTAAAGTGAGTGAAAA